GGGTTCGCAGAGCATTGGCAAGAACAAGAGCAGTCGGTTCATTCTTTCCGGTGGACTGTGGAAGACTTCCCAACGCGAATGAGAGACTTAGTAGATAAGAATGAAGGGCCACTTACCAGCGGTGAATGGACTACACCAAATGGCCACAAGTGGAGGGCCATTTTAACGCAAGATCTCAAATTATTTATACAGCTGGTCGCCGCACCCTTCCCAACTAGAGTGGAGCTCAGGTAGGAGGACTCCGTATGTACTGACGAACAAAAAAAGGTTGATGAATGTTGCTTGAAGAACAAACTAAACCGCCAGTTCTGATTTTAGTGTTGGACCGTTTTCAGATATAATTTACTATGAACCGGTCATCAAGTTATCAGTTCATAAAAAGGAAAGATAAAACGATTAAATTGGACATTCTCAATACATCGTGTCTCAGACGAACTGCTCACTGTTATACGCGTTTTGCTTTTTGACTTTTCACGAACTTGGACCGATTTTGAAAGTAGATGGGGTTCCTATTGTACAAAATACATCGAAACACTAGTTTTGAACAGTTTAGCTCTATCTGATACTACTGAATTTTCACACCACAAATTAACAAATTTTTGCTGATTGGAAAATGATGGTGGTGAGTCACATTAAAGATGTAAATGAATGAAACTAGCGTCTTTTTTTTATCGATAGAATTGTGTTGACGCCCGGAGAGGTGGAGGAAATAACTTATACTCTCCCTACGACTACACTGAAGGAAGGAGAGATGTGGGGGCACGATGTGGCCAACATCAATCGCTGGGTTGATGGTGAAGGAAAGCTAATTGTCAAGTTCGTTATTCTTTACATCGTATTATGATGGAATCCATCAAGAAATTAAGTAAATTTAAAATTCCAGTGTAAAAAAAAAAGCCCTTTACCAGAATATCGCATTCATTTTTCAAGGGCTATAGATGTAATTGGATTTCTGCAGTAACACCAAAGAGAATTATGGGAGTTCGAATAAAAATGACAAATTTCACAAATTGGCATCTTGCACATGAAATTTTCAGAATTTTACCTGTGTTTCACAGTCGCCGGTTCTAGTGAAATTTGTTATTTATTTTCTCGGATTCCCATCGTAAATCGTTTTTGGTGTCATCACGGATGACTCATCATTTCTATATCCCTCAAAAAGTCTCAAAAGAAGGTCGCATTCTTTAAATTATTCTGTTACAAGGTTTTTGTCCAATGAATATTAGAAATTGCTCAATTTCCTAATGGATTTCGTTTTATAACGTCACAGTGCAACGCCAGGGCCTTAGTTTATGGCAGCCTCTAAGATTAAAAATAAAACCAAAAGCTCACATGAGCGTGTCCATGGTGAAACGGTTTGGATTGCTCAGAACAGAGTTGATTTTGCTTATCTTCGTTCATACATGTATGTAAAGGAGTAAACTATTTAGCTCTTAAGAGCCCATGTTCACCAACGTGACTTTGTGAGCTAGTGTTTTGGTTTTGAAACCCTTCCTTTGTCAAATTCAGCAGGTGTTTTGATTGGGCAGAGTGTTAGTTTTTTTCACGCATGGCCGAAGCGTCACTCTACACAAACTGAAGGGAGAAACTTTCAACTTCGCGTAATTATTTTTCTGTAGTATAGGGCGAGCAAGGCCGCTTGGGTGAACATGGGCCTTTTTTTAAAAGGCAACTGAATTAGCCTTTGGTTGCACGTGAAGTTTTTGGCCTCCCTCGTTATAGTTTGAGTATCAGGCGTTTCTGAGTGAGAAGGGGGAAGAGAGGAGCGAACGAGGAGAGAGCTAAAATCTCCTCTCCGGTAGCCCATAAGGATGACCTGATACTCAGGCTACCCTCGTTATTGGTTAAAAATTAGAATAATAATATTAAATCATTATATTCTTCTGTTTCATCAGTCAAGTACTTCGTTAAGGCCCGAATACGAAAATATATTTCCAAAAGAACATTGCATACAAAATCAAAAACAGATTTGATGAGCGCTATTAATATCATTAAGAATAATAATTGATTAGAGCAATGTGCAAATAATATGTTTCTTGAAAATAGGAGTTGTTACCTTAATAGAGCAGTGTAATATTTTTTTTAAATTATCAACTTTATTTATTGAGTGGTTACCATTAGTCGAAGCCACACCATCCCATAGTGATTGAGCCCCTATATAATAGTTAAGATCTCTGAAAAGCTTCAACAAATAATTTTTTGTTAGTACTATCAATTTTTCCTTATTTTTATCCTCTTTTGTATGGCCGCTGGCTAAGTTGATTTCTGTGAGAGCCTTTAATGTTATCCTCAGTTGAAATGCAAATAGAATTTTTCTCTTTCTTATCGAAAATGTTGTTGTCGTAATTATTTGCTGGTGTCTTTTCAATCTTATTTTCCATCTTTAACCTTTTCTACCTAGGGGTGCCTACCTTTTACAAAAAACGAAAAACTTTTAAAAAATCTTCCAAATATAATTATGACTATTAACTTTCACATAAAAAAGAACGACATGCTGAAATGTAAAAGAGTTCTCTGAAAATTTGAATCACCTACAATGGTTTATAATCTGACGATTCCCAAGCGGAATGGCGCGAACCATTTGATTTTCGGCTTACCCATTTATAAATAAAGTATTTACCCCAGAAATTATCTACGCTCAATCCGTTGCCCTTACAAGTGAAAAACCGCATCACATTATTTCCCTAATCTCTGATATTTTGAAGCCAGCGCATGGCTATTTTTTCAGGGGATGTTTTTCTGACTTTTTTGGACTTAAACTTCTCCAGGCAAATACCTTTTCTAGTTTTTGAACGAGTCCCTACGAAAACGAAAAATCGAGTCTCGTTTTGGGCCCTACGTTTTAGAGAAAAATCGAGTCTCGTTTTGGGCGCCACGTTTTAGAGAAAAATAAAGTCTCGTTTCGTGTCTCGTTTCTGAAACGAGTAATCGAGACAGGTGGCAACGAGTCTCGATTTCACGTTTTCGTTTCGACTGCCGGAAAGGTAATCGAGAAGCCATTAAATCGAGACGATTTTAATCGAGTACTTTACGATACGTTGCCCAGAAACGATGAGTGATCCCTATTTGGTTTTCATCCGGTCTAGAAATCGGGCGCACAGTTCCATCTATGAATCCAAAACAATTTTCCAGTGCTGCTCCTTTGTTACTAATGGCATCAGCATACTCATTCAGTGCAGCTGGATTTAACAGGTCGTGATTCCACTGTGTTATTTGGTGACCATGAGTTGTGTACATCCAGTCTACAACCTCATTACTAATCACGCTAAGTTCTGGCACGGATCGTCCAAAAATAGGAATGATGTCCGAATACCGGCACGGGTAAGCAAACCTCTTCAGCATTATACACAGGCCTTCGGCTCCATCGCAAATTGTTCCATTACGGCATCGGAACACAGGAGGTACTGTTAATGCGTCAGCAAGCAAAGGAATGTCTCTTTTTTCCACTCGGAAATCGGCTTTACATTCGGCTGGGTCTTTATTCGCGAGGGAAAACTTTTCATACGCCGAGTGAGGAAACGGAAGATTTCTCGGCCTGTATGTATCGTAAAGCAGAACAAACTCTTCTTTGTCTATGATTTCTTCTACTAGGCACAAACAAAGCATTTCTTAAACTTTCTTAAATGATGCCATGGCTATTTCTGCGAAGAATTGCCGAAGAATCACACTGATAAAGAGCGGTTTGCAGCCACGTCGCCTTGCATCGCGACGGAGATCTTAACTTTACTTTTCGCACACACACGACGATGTTCTAGTTCCAGTCCTTTATCAGCCACCGCGTTCTAGAAGTTTTCGCGTCCCAGATCTTAAGGTCCCTAATCTCTGAACAGGCAACGTTGCAAAACTCTAGGATATCAGAAGGTAACAATGAATATTGACCGACAACAGCTGTTACAGCGAGGTTTGATGAATTCCCAAATTTCCAGCTATATAACAAATCCCTTGAAAACCAGTTAATTTTGTTTCCCTCAAACATTGAGATTCGAGGGCAACAAAATTAGCTGTTTCCCGTGGGACCTTTCATTACCTGTTTATTATTATATATTTACATTGCCAATATTTCTCTTTTGAATGAAAACCTTCCTCTTTTTAGATTTGATTAGTAATAATGGCTACATGTAAAGCTGTTAACAAGAATATGTAATGAATTTTCTCAAAGTGGTTGTTTTATCCTAATAATGGTCAGGAATACAAATAAAAAGGTGTTAAATGACTGTTGTTCTCATCTCTTTTCAGGTAACAGTGAATGCTTCAAAAGGAATTTTGCAGTATATCGAAAGTAATGAATTTAACGAAGAGTTTGGTGATGATCTTTATTTGATTTTGCATCGTTTAAATCAGGACTGTGTTGAGTCCTATTTCTCTATTTAAAGGCAAATGTGTGGTGGTACCAGAAACATGACTGAATATGCATATGGCTACAATATTTCTGGTACCATCTGCTATATTTCCTCCCAACTAGTTTCTAAAAACAAGCAAATCAGGCTGAGTTACAAGGCTGTTTAAACCTGGCTGCAAATGGCCAGACTTTGCCGAAGCGCCACAACAGGGGAAGGAATTCTTCAAACAGTGCTATGGCCTGTAAGGCTTTCATAATAAGTGTAAATATATTATCTTTTTTTTTTTTGCTATTGGTAAGATTTTCAACAGGACTGATTCTGGCTTGATTATTTTCTTTCTTTTTTTTTTTTAATCCCTCCCTTATACTTACAGTGTAAAGTTACCCCAGGGAGAGGGTCCTTGATTCTAGTTTGGGGACAGGGGTTTCACTATCTGGGTTTGAACCACATCCCTTTTAGTACAAAAAGAAACCTAGAAAATGTCTACCCTCTGCAGGCGAACTAACTCCTATTAAAATGATGCTGTTTCAGACTTACTTTCAGTACTTTATTGAATTTTAATTTGAGAAGAACAAACATACCTAAAAATGTACAGGCCTCAAACCATGCTCTGTCCAGTGATTTCCTGTATATTTATTATGCAATAAAAGCGTTCCCCATGCATATTATATTATTATACATTTTTGCCCTTCAGCAAACGGTACAAAATGTATTTAATAGTAAGAGTTTCTGTAAAAAAATTAAGTCAGTTGCATATATTAACACTCTTTGTATTTGTGGTAAAAGAACAATACAGTGTTTATAGAAAGTTGAGATGTTAAGCCATGTATCGAGCATGCCCTGCAGGTTGCTTAAGCCGTAATGAAAGTGTAAAAAGTATGTCAGTGTAATCAGAATACATCACTTGAATGAGATTTGTGGACGAAAACCGGAAAATGAATGTAAATAAAGTAGCAATCTGAGTGTAATTGTGTACCCTAAGGAGTACATCCATTATCTTATCTTTTATATACAACCTTTTAATTTACGTCCATTTGTGTCCTTGATAATTGATTTATGTTAATCTACTGACATCAGACAGTTTAAGAGTCATTATATTTTTTGTTTCCAATATCCTGTTTCTCCTAGTTTTGGTTACTAGCACGATTATATGTGTAGGTTACCTTTTCCGGATGTCTAAAAGTCACCGGTGCGTCAACGTCCTCTAAATGGGATAAGATTCCTGAAATCTGTCGTGACTTCTTTTTGCCCTCGAGTGCAGGAAGTCCAAATGCTTTCAGCAACTTCGTAAGATGCTTTCCTGGAAGATGATTCAAGTCACCTTCGGGATCATTTCCTTTACTGATTTCAACAAGACACTGGACAGTGATTTCTGGATCCTCAAAGTGTTTTACCTGTTCTTTTATAGCGGCTGGAGTTTTGGTTGCTTCACTTTCAGACTTTGTACATGTTCTCTTCTTAGATGTCTTACTTTTTAGATCCTGTCGCAGTGACAAACTTCCCTTCTGTGGTTTTAAGTCCAGTTTTTCACGAATAATACTTTGTTTTGACTTAACAAACATAGTTGACACCCTTTGCAGCACCGCCACCTGCAGCCTCTATTAGGAATGCCTTCCCATGCTTCCCGTATCTCGCAACAGGGCTCGACACTAACACTTACCCGTTCACCACTGGAAAAAAATATTTCTGAGTGGAAAGTAAAAAAGCAAATGAACCGAAAATACTTACCCGATCGGGCAAATACTTCTAGACAATGCGGGAAAGTATTTTTTTAAACAGCCAAATAAAAAAGAAAAGAAAACGAATGTGTTTAGTTATTACAAGTGAACTTCCTTGCTAAACGTCTAAGTTTCGCGTTTTTCTATCTCCGCCATCTTGGAATCGTCAGTGACAGATCGAGAAACCCTGGGTACGAAATAGATGATGCAATCGACCGTGCTCGCCATTTTGCCTTTCACACGTGGGCTAGTAAATAAAGCATGAGTCTCTTTCGTTTTGGTTTTAAACACGCTGGTGAGGTTAACAAAGGAAACTCCGAAAAGATTGATGAAGTTGACCAAGAAAGCAACAAAGGAGGAGAACAGACTGAAAATCAAACAGCTGGAGCATATTCGAAGCAAGGGACGCCACGAGACAAATACGAAGAAAAGAGGAAGATGGTCGGCCGTGGGTTTAGAAAAGAATGGCTTAAGGAGTTTCCATGGCTGCAATACAAGGAAGAACAGAGTCAGATGCAGTGCAAAGTGTGCAACGATTTTCCAAATATAGCTGACAAAAGCTTGGGATACGTAATACAAACCTCATTGCCACACGCCCTTGAGACACAACCTGATACAACCAATGAGATCTTTGTTTATTTTTTTATTAGGTGCAGCAAGATCATATATATAACTTAATTTCGCCTCATTTACATCTGTGACGGAAAGAGCTTGGTTCGTGGTTAGCTAGGTCATTGAGGTTTGAGGCTGGAAAAATTACTGAATTACTGTTCATCTGGCAGATCTGGAGGTCAGGTCCGTCTGAGGACGTTCAACTGTGATCAAGTGACATTGCACTCGGCGAGGCAAATTTCCCTTTCGTAAACGGTCGTTGCCATTTGAAACGGTCGATGCCATTTCTCAGAACGGTCGTTGCCATTTGAAACGGTCGATGCCATTTCGAAAACTAGCCGAGCAGACGACAGCCCTCGTGAATAGCTCGTATGGCGGTTGGCACGCTCGGACGTCACTTCCGGGCAGTGTTGTTTACAAGATGGCGGAGCAGCAATCCACGTGCGCGAGAGTTGAGCCAGCTGAACCAGAACCAACCCATTCTTCTTGTGCAGAAACAAAACAAAAATCAATTAAGAAGCCAACGGGGTGGAACTCCTTTATGCAGTCAGTTGCGGTGAGTTTGTTTTGTATTTCCCGAAATATTCAATCATTTTCAGCCTGGATAAAGTGCTTGTTCATCCTTTACATCCGATTACAAGTGATTAAGATTAAGTCATCAGAAATATCAGTGAAAAATAAACCGCATGTAAAATTTTCGTTTATGTCATTAACAAATATGTTATCTATAAGTGTTGCACTTATATTCGTTATTCTTGTAGGCCTTGAAATTACATTCGATATAAGCTGATATAGTTTCCTCGTTCTTTGTATCATTCCACAGCCAGATGTCAAGGAACAACTTGGAAAGGGGGCAGGAATCGGGCAGGTTTCCAAAGTGGTTGGCAATATGTGGAAGAAATTGCCGACAGACAGACGAAAGGTTAGTTATAAACTTCTAACATTGCGAGTGTTTGTGTATTAACCCTGCCCCATTTCAGTGGACTGCTATGTGGTTTACATGGCTAACTTTGTAAGGACCGAGAGTGTAAATGTTCTCGTCAAACTTTCCAATTAAAAGTATTTTAGGTTATGAATGTTGATCTTGAATCAAGCTGGGACCTCAAGCTGAATGTCAATTTTGTAATATAATGTTCAGACTTGTTATTTTTCCAGAAAGAACTCTAAAATATACCTAGGGGATAGCATGGCCCATTATAATGTACCAATTAATTTACCCTAAATTTTAATTAGAAATAACCTACATGTGGCGGATGCAGGTTTTGAGGAAAGGGGGGAAGGGGGGGGGGGGTGGGGGCAAGGGGGTATTATCCTCAAAAAATTATGATAGAGGGTGAAAAAAAACTGTCTTTGCAATCTAGTTTATATAAAAATAGGGGGGATCATAAATACACGATTGTTCCCTAATATATTTACCCCCTTTTAAAATATCATGCTATGATCTTCATAGGACTGGAAAGATAAAGCACAGAGCTTGAGGGAAGACCTTGATATGGGAATAGCAGAGATAAAAAAATGTCCAACCTGCAGCACCCAGTTCACAAGGGAGAAGGACTTTAAATACCACCAGAAAGGTTGTCATGAGTGCATTTGCGAGGAATGCAATGAATCGTTTGACCATGAGCAAAAGCTAAAAAGGCATAAAGACAAGAAACATAAAGACAGCTACAAGTGTGATCATTGTCAAAAGACTTTTGCTGAGAAACGAAATCTTATAAGACACCAAAAGTCACATGTTTAGTTAACCTATCCTGCATTTAGTGATTTTAATTGGAGATGATTTGAAAGGACTATTGTATCAATCTATAATACATAATTGTTTTTGTTTTTAAATTATTATTATTATTATCGATTTTTGAAATTAATTGTGGTCATTGCAGCACATGTACATCATGTTACTGTTCAAACCAAATTTTAAATCATTACAAATGTTGTGTTAGACTTTAACAGGAAAAATGAATTAAAACTTATTTACAATGTCAAAACCTCAATCTTTTTAATAACCTTGTTGTTCAGGGGCAGATCCAAGGAGAGAGGTTTTTAATCTAGGCAATTTGCCTTAAGTGAATTTCCCTCTATGTTAAACATTATGCGAACATTCCATTGTTTATTCACTAAGATTTCTCTGTTTTCCTATTTTTTCCTTTGCATGTGCTTTGTCTTGGATTTCATAGTATGGGACCCAGACTTCTTACTACTTTTAGTGTTTGTTTGTACTGCTTTAGCCAAGTCATGGCTGCGCTTCCTCTTGGAGGTGGGTTCTTGAAGTTGTACTGGTCGCCCTTTTGATACAACCTGACGGCTTCCACTACCACACTTTCGTTTTCTGTTGGGCTGGACTCGGATCTTTTTTCCATTTCCGGTTTTTTTCACCTCACTGGACCCAAAAGTAAAAAGAGCGCTTGCCAAATTAGAATGCATAGATCTAGCAGCGGTTAAGGATGTTACCCTTTTTGCGAACCTGATTACACCTTTAGCCAAATTAAGGTCTCTTGAGCTTTGGAGCTTTTGAATTATTTGTTCACAAGAGTTTCTCAACAATTGTTCAGCATTTGCAATGGAATCATCCTCATCATCATCATTGCTCTGTATTGGTTCAGCAGTGCAGCAGTTTGGCCCTTGTTGTGCTGTTTCCATACTAGTGGATGCCTCTGTTACAAAACCATTAGAACCATCAGTTTGTGATGTTTGTCCAGCATCACTAGAGCGTAATGGCTTATAACAAGCAACAGGAAGTGTCTTTCCTATTGCTAGCCAGGCCAATTTCTGCCTCTCATGTGGATTACTGACTGGAATGAAGTTTATGCAGTCTGCTAGATTTGCCACCCACAGGACATACTGGTGTTTGCATGGGCTCCCGTCTTTACCAACCGTGCAGCTACATATCCCAAGAGTCATGTCCACTGTATAACTGACAAAGAACCAATGAGACACTTCATAAATATCTCAATACAACTGGAATTTTTGTTTTTCAATCTGTAATAGATACATTCTAGACCTTCAACTGGTTGATCCACTAAGATATTAATGGAAATATTCCTAACAGCAGAGTAAGGGCTTGCTCTTACTCTGCTATAAAAAACTCAATAACCCTGCCAAGAAGGGAAATTACTAAAGGTACCCCACCCCCTGGACAATATATTAGTCATGTTTTGGTCTTCCTTATGCTAAATCAACATCCTTGAAATGCAGCATATGGATGAACTGCAGGAATTATCTCATATGTTATGCATGTTATGTCCCCATGTTTTATGTATTTTTGCTCCAAAGGGGAGGAGCCTAGAAACACTGCCCCCTCCCCCCCCCTGCTTCCCCTATCAAGATAATTTGAATCAGACAATGGGGGAAAGATAGGAAAATAATGGCCACCCACACATGCCCTCTTGTACCACCAGAGCGTTATGCTATTGCGACGGCGAAGAAAAAACACTACTGACCTGTGACTGCTATCTGAAGAGCTTCCAACTTTGAATACATTATTGCCAAAGTTCTCTACAGTTGAGATGTAGGCATCAAGATCTTTTTTATCTGGGACTTTAAACCCTGTGCTTCCGTCTTTCCCTTTCCCAAAGAATCGATGTCTGTACACGCCATCAAAACTCCCATCAGCAATACTAAGGAGCTTATTCTTGTAGTGATCTTCTAGATTAATAGTCAGCTTGTCTAGAAGCCCAACAACATTGTACTCTTTGGTGCGCTGCAGAATTACATCCTTAAGAACCAAAAACTGAGCCTCGGCAAAATTGTTGGTGTGGTTCCCTCTAACAGGCAGTTCAGTTCTAAAGCATAGAGCAAACGATTCTTTGTCATTGTATAGATTTTGCAAATAGCTGACTAGATTTGGGTATTTCTTGCAACGGCCATCATTCAAAAGTTCACTGAAGCAGTTCTCAAAATCTTGTTTTGTCTCGGCATATAAGGACCTCTTGAAAAGGGTGAGAAAATAGGGTCTATCTGCTTGGCTGATACTGTTCTTGCTCTCGTGAAGCCATCTCCAAAGTTGTTGGAGCATGTGGAAGATGCAAAGAAGTAAAACAGATGTTGGCCAAACAGACTTCAGAGCATTTCTTTCCTCTTTACAGTTGTCTGTTAGGATGACTTGGGGGCCTTGTTCCCGACCACGACCATTGAATGCATACTCTGGTAAACAGGACCGAAGCATTTCAAAGCCCTGTTTAAGTGTACGCTCCTGCTCATCACTGGTGATCAAGATGCCAAGTGGAAGTGCTCCAGATACATTGTTTGTGCACATTAAAAACACTTTAAGATTGTGCTCTTCTGTATTAGAAGTAGCATCAACAAAAACCATCTCACCAGACTGCTGCACTTCCTTGTGTACACGGTTCATGAGAGGCGTTACAATAGCAATTATAAGAGGCGTATCATCACCTTCATACATCTGGTAACAAGTAGTAGCTTCAGGGTTGTCTTTCTTGTATTGTTGAAGCCTTTCGGAAAGTCTTTCAAACATCATAACGCCCTGTCCACCATACCTATCCTTACCAAATTGCGTGTAGAGGTAACTAAAGTCCCTTTTTCTCGGCATAACTGCCCGATTGGCCTTTTTCCTGTGAAATTCCAATTCATCCTGACATGATTCTTTGAGTTCTTTCAAGTACTGTTGCCTTGCGGTTGCTGGTGTATGCCCACTTTCAAACAACTTCAAAACCCTTTCTGTGCACTCAGGAGAAAGGTCACGGAAATTAGAGGCCTCCAGAGTTTCAAGTGAATGGTTGTGTTCCCACTCTATGTCCACAGAACAACATCCCTCGCTGTCTATTTTGACTATCATCTGAAAGGGGCAATTGGTGTTCTTTACTCTGGCAGATGGGTTCAAGTACAATTTCTGCTGTGGATCTTTACTTGGACTCCAGTTGCGAGTGTTGTGTTGGCATCTATAGTAGTTTTGCAACACATAGCCGCTTGTTGGTGCCTTCTTTGTCTTTAACTTCACTGAGATGCTGTTTATCACTTCATATTCGGATATCCACTGCTCCAGGTTTTCTTTCGTTATATCTTCGGTCAAAAAGTGCACTTTGAACTTTTCTCCATTTCCTGAAATTGCCTTCAGGTAGTAAAATGAATCATCTGGAAGCGAAGCCAGAAAACTCTCCTTTGTAATTTCGGTCGATTCAAAAGATTTACTTTTCGATTCGACTTCTTTTATAGCTGAAGATATTAGATCTTTGAGAAAATTGTCGGGTTTGTCCGCCATTTTGATTTGATAAAAATCGCGATGGTTTGTAGGAAAGCTAGTCACGCATTGCTCTGATTGTCACGCATGTCGTCGGAGAGAGTCGGAAATATCGGTTCCTTCCTTCCTTCGACCGTCATGAGAAATGGCATCGACCGTTTCAAATGGCAACGACCGTTCTGAGAAATGGCATCGACCGTTTCAAATGGCAACGACCGTTTACGAAAGGGAAATTTGCCTCGGCGAGACCTGTTTTTACCTTACTTCTAGCGCTCCTTTTTTTACTTCTATTGACCAATGTTTGAAAAACCTTTTCCATTTATCGGCATGTTGGTTATCACATGCAGAAGAGATTTAACCAACATTAATTTAATGATCAACTCTATTGTATTTAGTAAATTATTTTACTGTTATTTGACTGTTCCGCTGTACTTATAAACAGAACATCCATAACCTACAACTCGTGCAGAACTTTGCTGCCCGTATACTAACTGACACAGGGAAATACGATCATATTACCCCGGCCCTCAAAGCTGCTGGCTGGCTGACTATAGAGGAGCAACTTTGGTTGCGGGACGTGACAATGATGTACAAATGTGTTAACAATTTAGTGCCAGCATATATTAGGTGTAAAATAGGGAAGCGATCCAATGCGCACTCTTACAATCTCTGCAACAGTGAAGATCTAAACCTGCTAAGATGCCAGACAATGGCGGCCATAGTGGCTTCTTTTATAGGACAGCAAAAGCGTGGAATAGTCTCAGTAACAACACTAGAACTGCCCGATCATTAAGATCATTTAAAAAGCTTGCAAAGGCAGAATTAACGAAGAAATAGGACACCGGTATACATACCATAGTATATTACATTGTTAGTTATGATTAGAAGTCGTAATTTTAAGTTGTTATTTATATATCAAGAACATGTATATCATCAGTCTTAGTTGTATTATATATACATATTGTAACTTAATTCTGAAAAACCCCTCGGGGAGAATTAATAAAAAAAAGTATTGTATTGTATCGTACCAAGGCTCCTGCGAGGGCTCAGCTCCGCTCAGGTACACGATCTGGCATTTCGCCCCTAGTACAAGCCCGACTGAAATGTCTTACTCACACTCGCCATTCTAATCAAGGTTAATTCACAGCTATCAAACTAGAGGATCCGCTGACCACCATCACCTGACTGTATCGTGGGCTCACTTTTCTACCCATCGAGGTCACGTATTTTTTAAAGCTTTCTGTATTTTGAGCGGAGCCCTAAAGCTTAGCAAATCTATCCATTCTAGAAAACCTGGCAATATCGTGACCGTGCACCCACCGTCCATACCACAAGCATACCAATGTTTAATCTCACACTTTCTAGCAATTTAGGAAGCCTGCAACCTGATATTGTCCGTCATTGTTGTAACCAATGACAGCTGTCAAAACAGTGTATCCGCTGACCAGTATTACCTGACCGTATCACGGGCTCAGGTATTGACCCACTGAGCTAGAGTACCGTAAAATTCTGAAAATAAGCCCCTCCATGGCACAAGGATCACCACGGGTGATGATTGCTAATTGCTATATAGAACACGCCCCTTTCGGGCCAGCCTTCCGCGGGTTAGTGTATCGCTTTCAGATCGCTCTACCTTAGCTTTGGGCAAGACATCGCTTATTTCATTGATCTCATTCCAGGAACGAACGCCCTCTCGACTTTTATAGTCAATCTCTAGCGGTTAGTTGTTTCCACTCTCAGTCATGTCGCAAAAATCCAAGCAGAAATCCAGGTCCAAACCCCAACTGGAGGATTACGGATTTTCACCGTCGCTGCAATCTCAGCTATTCGAGCATTACGCTCAATTCCGCGACGACAAACCAGCCCTTGGGCCTGTCCTTGGGCATCCTTCGCCTTCAGAAAGACAACAACAACTTCTGGATAAAGAATTAGAGCTGGTGAAGCAGGAAAAAGAAAAGTTGGCGTTAGAACTGGAAGTGCTCCGTTTACGCCAAGTTATCGGACCAGCAACACCCTCAACTACATCGGCAGCGCCAATGCGCGACTGGAAAGTCTGACACAAAGAAAAAGATCATTGACTGGCCGCACGACTTTGTCCAGATACGTCAATAAATCTTGAGTTCAACTCTTTAGATTTACCATCTTTTGTTGCCGGTTATTTTGCGATGATTCGAACCTATGATACGGCATCGAACGCGCACATGCTCGCCATACCAGAAGGTCTTATGGCCAAAGCCATAAGTTACACATGGGCAAGCGTTCGACGTTTCTATTCCTATTTGGCAAAGCAAGTCGAACTGCGTAGATTGGATTGGGATCGCATTACTGAAATTCGGGACATAGCGTCAACCTTTTTCGAGCATTCGGATTTACGCTCGACCCATTCCAGGAATCTGCTTCTTCTTTGTCTTCTTCTGGATCTTCTTCACAAGAACTCACAGCTAAGGTTGCCAAGCGTGGAATTACCAGGGTTCTTGTTCTTGTGATTCCACTGCTAGTAACTACGCCTCACATCAAATGTGCCGAGTTTGCAAGTCAAGCGAGCACCTTATGCTACACTGTCCCAAGCGAAAAATGCCAACTCCCAACCAGCAATGACTGGACAGTCAGACTATTGGCTTAGTAGTATATACGGATTATGACACGGACTCGGACACGGAATTGGACACGGACACGAAAACGGAACACCATATGTTATCGCAACATGAATTTTTCTCAGCCAATTCATCGCGCGTGGTTGTCGCTTATATTCTCGCCTCGAAGTCTCCGCAACCGAATGCCTACGGAGCCAAAATACCCGTTTCTTTGCAACTGAACATTTCTGTTTGGAGACATTATTTGACAGATTATGTCGACCACGTCGTCCTTGATTTCTTGCAATTTGGTTGGCCTATAAACTATACGTCCAGTGTTTTGCCTCAGCCTACTCACACCAATCATCAGTCAGCTCTTGCCTATCCTGAGGATGTCCAACATTATTTATCAACTGAATTGAGCTTCGGAGCTCTTGATGGGCCCTTTAAAAAGATCCTCTACCGGACGACCTTATTACATCCACTTTACAGACAGTCTACAAATGTGGTTCTACTAAGCGCCGGGTCGTGATGGATCTTAGTTTCCCGCATGCAGCCTCTCTCAACAGCGGTATTCCGAAAACTCATTATTTGGACAATGCATTTCAACTTCGTCTTCCACTGTGATTCTTCTTTACATCGAGGCGGTGCTACGTGTTTTGACGAATGTACCTCGTTCGCTTTTCCCAGGGACATTGAAAAATGGCCTTGCACATCAATGCGTTAGAAGTGTTTGTACTTGTCATGGCTGTTAAGATTTGGGCCACCAAGTTGGCAGGTTCTAGATTCCAGATTTCGTGTAACAACGATGCGGCCGTCCAGGTGGTGCGCTCAGGTCGTACACGTGATGCCTTCATGCAGCGTTGCTTAAGACAACTTTGGTTCACATCAGCTCGTTATGATTTAGACTTACATGTCTCTCATATTCCGGGGGTCCACAATGTCTTTGCCGATTGCCTTAGTCGCTGGGATGCCGATTCTACGTTTCAAAGAAAGTTCCATGAACTTGCTTCTCAGCGTAACCTTTGTTTTCACGTTATCCATTGACAGCGAGGATTTAGCCTTTGACCTTTCTTAATGGGTGCTTTGTGCCTTTGTTGCAGATCGTCGTAGGCCAGTTCAACCATCACCAGATATTCGAGCATTGGATTCTCTTGGACGCGACTTGATCGAGAGAGCATACGCAGATTCAACCTGGCGGAACTTGAACTCCCACATAAAGATTTACCTGACATTTTGTGAGGCGGTTTCGTCTGCTCCGTTTCCAGTGACTGTAAAATTAATTACACGTTACATAGCTTATTTAGTGTCACTCGGCCACCTTTATGGTACTATCCTGAATCAGTAAGTAGCATTAAGCATATGCATTAGTTTCTCGGTCATGATTTGACTTGGGGTAGTGATTATCACTATAAATTGTTGTTACGCGGAGTCAAGCGTTATTTAGGAACAGCAGTTCAGCGCAAGGCTCCAATCACTCCACGATTGTTATTACGCATTGCACACCTTTTCGATTTTCACAAGCCTTTGCATGTCGCTATGTGGGCGCTTTTTCTAGTAGCTTTTTACTCCTTTTTACACAAGCCGAATTTAGTTGTTGATCGCGCGGCGCAAGTCTCGCCTAAGGTCCTTTTGCGGTCAGCTCTTTGTTTTGATGCATCGTTCGCTTATCTCACAGTTCACGCGTCTAAAACTGTTCAGTTTCAGGAACACCTTTTTTCTTTACCATTGCCGCGCATTCCGGGTAGTTTGTTGTGCCCTGTAGCCGCTTTGGTTAACCACATTCGGATTAATCAGGTACCCCAGGACATGCATTTATTCTCAGTTAGGTACGATAGTTCATTGAGTCATATTACCTATACGCATTTTAGTTCTTTTCTGGCCAGCTGTCGGTCTTGATTCTACTAGCTACTCCCCTCATAGTTTTAGGCGCAGTGGCGCTACCTTTGCCTTTGAAGCTAAAGTACCACCTGAGTTAATTAAGGCACAGGGCGACTGGTGTAGTCACTGTTCTTTAATTTATCTTGAAAAGACTGATCGACTGAAGAGGGCGGCTGTTACTCGCATGGCTGCCGCTATTTCACATATTGCTGTTTAGTTTAATCTTCCATTTCTTCAAGTTACTGTTAATTAACTTCTCTAATTATAAAAATCACTTTCAACCACATACTACCATGTTTGGGCCTTGGCGGTTTTGTTCACTGACCTCTCGCCAACGTCTCGTTCTGCTTGTCAATAAACTGTTTTGCCCAAACATTGTAGTCTGTGTTCGATATTACAAGTAATTGTACAAGGATCAACACGGGTGATGATTGCTTATTGCTATATAGAACACGCCCCTTTCGGGCCAGCCTTCCGCGGCTTAGGGTATCGGCTTTCAGATTGCTCCACGTTAGCTTTGAGCAAGACATCGCTTACCCGCCCACTCCACCCTTGGCGGTTTTGTTCATTGACCTCTCGCCAGCGTCTCATTCTGCTAGTCAATAAAATGTTTTGCCCAAACATTGTAGTCTGTGTATGATATTACAAGTAATTTATAAGCCCCTCCAAATATAAGCCCCCCAAACTCGTAACGCAAAAAAAACTCCGTTAAATCGCCCTCCAAATATAAGCCCACGGGGGGGCTTGTACTTGGAAATTGCCCTCAAATACAAATAAAACAAAGAAAAAAGGTAAATTTCCTTCCAAGAAGAAGGCTAGCCTAATCGATGTCCAAAGGAAAATTTCCCTCCATACATAAACCCCCCCAAAAATGAACCCTTCAAAAAGGGCCTTTGAAAAATATAAGCCCCGGAGCTTATTTTCGGAATTTTACGGTATTTTATTAAATCCGCTGACATGCATTTGAAATTAGTCGTGTTCACGAACCATACTTATAAAATTTATATTTCAAACTGACCTCGGACTCGCACGCACACCTTGGCGCTGAAGTACACAATTCGAATATTCGAGTCAAAAGATGGCACAACAACCAGGAAAATAGTGAATTAGATTGAAAGACACAACTTTTGTTTAAACGATTTACTTACCAAGTCCAACGTAGAGAATTACAGTCTTATAAGGTAGAGGAACGAGCTTTTGGGACACCCTGTAATTTAAGCTTGTGTTTTAAGTTGGCCGGCTTCCCGATGTTTGCTATTTTTGAAGATGAGCTCGAGGCAAAAATATCGCTTAAAGCGTTATACAGTCAAAATTGTAACTGAATGTTCTTCGGTACGTTTTTTTTCTTTTTCGGTCAGAAAATGTCTAAAATACTTTTCAAAGTGCGGTAAGCTTAAGTTTATATCAAACCTGATAAGCTTACTACACTTGGTCAGATCATTGTCTCTAATCTTACAAACGCGCGTAAACTAGCCGCATAAACTAACCTCGACTTCATGAAACCAGAAAAAAAAACATCAAATACAATAGGCTTACCAGTCGAGATGCAGCTCCTAAAGACCATCAAGTAAGGCCAGAATCGCTTGAAACTTTTCATCCCTCTTACGCGTCAAGCACAGTAAAAAACGAAAATGATGCCATTCCAAAATCAGATTGATGAGGACTTTAACAAGCCACTCATATCTCAACCAAAATTCCAATAAACAAACCAGCTATGAATGACTGATGAATCTAGATAGTAGCCGTATTTCATTTTGTACATCCAATGGAAAAAGGCAGTAAAAAACATGACAGGATGACTCAAAACTCTGTTGGCTTCAGCTATCAGTAAACAACTTTCTAGATGCTGCATAAATTTTCCGCAGTCAAATTTTGACCAATCAGAGCATAAGAATTGGGCGTAGAGCATTACCATGGTGAGANCCCTTCAAAAAGGGCCTTTGAAAAATATAAGCCCCGGAGCTTATTTTCGGAATTTTACGGTATTTTATTAAATCCGCTGACATGCATTTGAAATTAGTCGTGTTCACGAACCATACTTATAAAATTTATATTTCAAACTGACCTCGGACTCGCACGCACACCTTGGCGCTGAAGTACACAATTCGAATATTCGAGTCAAAAGATGGCACAACAACCAGGAAAATAGTGAATTAGATTGAAAGACACAACTTTTGTTTAAACGATTTACTTACCAAGTCCAACGTAGAGAATTACAGTCTTATAAGGTAGAGGAACGAGCTTTTGGGACACCCTGTAATTTAAGCTTGTGTTTTAAGTTGGCCGGCTTCCCGATGTTTGCTATTTTTGAAGATGAGCTCGAGGCAAAAATATCGCTTAAAGCGTTATACAGTCAAAATTGTAACTGAATGTTCTTCGGTACGTTTTTTTTCTTTTTCGGTCAGAAAATGTCTAAAATACTTTTCAAAGTGCGGTAAGCTTAAGTTTATATCAAACCTGATAAGCTTACTACACTTGGTCAGATCATTGTCTCTAATCTTACAAACGCGCGTAAACTAGCCGCATAAACTAACCTCGACTTCATGAAACCAGAAAAAAAAACATCAAATACAATAGGCTTACCAGTCGAGATGCAGCTCCTAAAGACCATCAAGTAAGGCCAGAATCGCTTGAAACTTTTCATCCCTCTTACGCGTCAAGCACAGTAAAAAACGAAAATGATGCCATTCCAAAATCAGATTGATGAGGACTTTAACAAGCCACTCATATCTCAACCAAAATTCCAATAAACAAACCAGCTATGAATGACTGATGAATCTAGATAGTAGCCGTATTTCATTTTGTACATCCAATGGAAAAAGGCAGTAAAAAACATGACAGGATGACTCAAAACTCTGTTGGCTTCAGCTATCAGTAAACAACTTTCTAGATGCTGCATAAATTTTCCGCAGTCAAATTTTGACCAATCAGAGCATAAGAATTGGGCGTAGAGCATTACCATGGTGAGAAAAGTCAAAAGCAAGTGCCATCCCTGTCTATCGAGTAGCTGGCTGAATTTTCGCGTCCGAGGTCAGTTTGAACTTTGAAATCAGAATTTTAATAGTGCGCATCGTGAACACAACTTAGTTCCTATGCATTTAACAAAAAGAATATGAGCCTGCAATCATTTAAAAACTAGTAACTTGTCAGCGAATAACTTCAAAAAAATACTCGACCTCGATGGATCGATACTTGAGCCCGCGATGCAGTCACGTGACACTGGTCAGCAGATACCCTGTTTTGACAGCTGTCAATTGTTCACAACATGGATATGCAATATCAGGTTGCACCTGGGCTCCCAAACTAGATAGAAAGTGGGAGATAAAAGACTGGTTTCCCTGTGGAGGGGACGGACGATCGGTGTAAGGTCACGTGATTAACAAATTTTTTAGGATGGATAGATTTACTTAGTTATGGGGCTACGCTCGCACGCTTGTGGAGCTCGGCTTGTAGTACACGTGTATGTGTCAGAGCTTTTACAATATTTCTTGGGTAAAAAACAACTTGAAAAAGTCGGGTTGTCTTTTTCAAGTTTGTTTTCATTGGCTCGCGCATGCACCTTGGGATTAAGCTCAGCAAAAACTAAATGCATGGTCCCAACAGCTGTCAAACACCAGCTCCATATCTTCATATAAAACCAACCTCGTGGTA